TTCCCTGCAGTGATGTACAGGTCCCCCCCCCTCATTTTTCCAGGGCTGGTTTCTGGCCCCTCCTGCCTCCCTTTGCCTCATCTCCTTCAGCACCAGCATCCACCACCAGCATCCAGGGCGCCTGCCTCTTCTGCCTAAGTCGGCCCCTCTTGGCCCCAGTCCTGCTCCTCCCAAATAAGAACAGGATTCCGGATTGGAGGATGTAGGAAAAGTTGTAGAACTAACCGACTGAGAACATTTAGGGATCCTCCTAGTGCTTATTTGTGTCTGTAAAAAAGGCGGGCACAAGATCTCGACCCTCGCGGGGGGGCTGGGGCTGCAACAGTGACCTTTAATCCGTTTGACAAACTGGTTCCCCACCACCTCCGATACGGAACTGAGCCTAAAAAGGAACTGACCACGAGACCTACTTGATGGAGGAAAGCAAAGGAAAGCCACCCGGCCAGGCCCCGTTCGGCCACTCAGCGGGTGGCATCGTTTTTCTCTCTCCCGCCCCCCCCCGGCCCTTCACTTAGTGGCGGTCTTGTGGCCTTCGTCCTTGTGGTGGGTGGCTGCTGAATTTGTGGCTCTGTAATTCTTTTGGACTGTGAGCAGCTATTTACTTCTGTAAATTCAGGAGCCAGAAAGAGTTTCTCAGAGCAAAGCTTATGCTCCTTTAAATAGTTTTAAGGCTGTTGGAAAAATCAGCTCCTCCTCACCTCTTGGCGAATGAAGGCAAAAGCTAGAGGATCTGACCTTGGAGCTTCGTGTCCAACAATCTCCCCCCTTCCCCCCCCCAGCTCTTAGTGTTGCTGTAAGCATCTCACCCTCTCCAGTTCACTTCCACATGCTTTTCTTTCAAATGAGGCCTCTAGGTGTCCATTTTTGCTGTGCACACATAACAATGAATTGTGTGTACGGTGTGTGTGTGTGCGCGTGTGCTTAAATGTCCAGACTTGAACCTGGGATTGCACTGCATCCTGAGGGCAAGAGGGCAATGAGGTGGCACTAACTACTACTGCCTTGCGTGCTCCTGCCTAGTTGCTGCTGGGTGGACTGGCTAGCACCTGTGTCGCCACTGGCCACAGGTCATGATTGTACTCTCTCCTGTAATGTATTGAAACTCTGGAGGTGAGGGAGCTGCTTGGGAATCATACTGGGATGATGTCCCCAATGTTAGCAGGCTGAATGTGCAAAGGAAGGGGGGGGGATATTGGTAGATGTTGCCGTTACTCCGTCAGGTACTGTATTGTGCTGATAAAGCGGGAAATTTGGTCAGGGCAGTGCCCTGGAAATCTGAGACAAGATGTTCCTTCTGTTTCACCCGTAACCAGCAGGTGCCCAGTCCAGATGTGAAGAACCCTCACTGCTTATGTCTTTTCCTACGTGATGCCCACCGTAGGAGAGGCGTCTCAAGACCCCCTCCTTGGGGAGGGCCTCGGGCTGCAAGCTCGCCACTCCAGAGGGCCATGAAGAGGCAGAAGCCACGGTGGGGGTCCCGTGAGGAGCAGACACGTTCTCACAAGGCTCACGATTCTTTCGTCACCCCGTCCTCGCTTGCCTGCGGGAAAGCCTCCCAAGCCCTTGGCTGCCCAAGGACCGCGCTCTGCGCTCTACACCACCCTGAGAAGGAGGGGCCTCGGGGGTGGGGGGGCGCCTAGCCCTTTGGCCCATTTCTCCACCACACGCAACAGAACTGGCCTCTGTGACGTTCAGGTGAGGGACACGCTCCTTTATGGACATGCAGAAATTTCTATAAATATAGTTTTTTTGTAAACATTTTGTAACAATTTTGGTTTCATAGTAACTGTGTTACTTGCAGATCATTCTAGCCGGATGTAAATAAAAATTTCCAAAAAAAATAAAAAATTAAAAATGCGTTTAAAGTTTTAAAAGGAGAGAAATATCTGATTATTTTTCTTTTTAGGACACTGTGATATATCAAAGTGCACAGTTTGCTGTATGAAGTAACATTGTTTTACATTTTAAATAAACAATAATAATTTCTAAAAAAAAATTAAAATAAAAGCAGAAGCCTCCAAGGTTCATTTCTCATAGATCAGTTTTCCATTGGCTTGGACAGGGACACTGTTTGAGGGAATCCTGGATTAAGAGCAGTATGTGCAAACAGATGGTCTGTGTGCAGGAGAGAGGAGGAGGAGGAGAAGTGTTTTATATGTTTAGAACTTGTTTTATGTGCTGAAAAAACAACAACAGTCGCACCATCAATTAATGGATTGGTCTTCAGGTCTACCTGTGAGCACCAGCACGCTGAGGAGCTCATGTTCAGAAGCACAGGTAAGGATTGGAAAATGAGACTCTTTCCTCTGACAAAGGGAGGAGAGAGCAGAATCCTCATCAAAACAAACATGGTGCCCGAGTAATCGCTCACTGATTCCATCTGTTTTCTGAAGGCAATGCAATGACCATATTTCATTCTTGTTTTGGAAGGTCTTAAAGGTCTGCAGGAGAACGGGGGCCATGAGATGGTGGCTTGGAGGAATCTGAGGAGGCTTCTCTTCCTCACCTTCCCTGGTGAGGATGCTGACTAGGAGGGGAGGGGATAGAAACTGCTTGCTGTGCAGGTCTGAGGATGATTTTTGTTCCAAAGCCTCTGTTGTGGTAGTGCCTCCTTTTGGAGCAGCGGGCTGTTGCTTTGGAGTAGTTTTGAGGGCCCCTAACATGGTCCAGCAGCCAAGGGCCAAGAGGAGGAAGACTGCAATGAAAGCACGCAAACGATTTGGGTCCTTTCAGGAGCACCAAAAGGCCGAGTACCCCAAAGAACCAGAAAACGAAAGAAGAGGGGGGGAACACCAAGGCACCAAAACGGGAAAGGCAATGAAAGGTTTTCCTGCCACCCATCCCTCGCAGCCAAAAAATACAGCGAAACACACTTCAGTTCCTTCTAGCAGTTGACCCCTGATGTCGTGCTTCTGAAATGCTTACAAAAAGGCAACGGCAAAACAGTATTTCACTTGCCACATCGATTGGTCGAAGGACAGCGTGAAACTCCGAAAGCAAATCCTGTTAATGTGTCTCTAAAACAATGCCTTCAAATGCCTTTAACAGCTTATTTCGAAGGTGGTTAGAAAACGTTGCTAATTAGACCAAAAATATGACTTTGTAACTCCTAACTGTACTGATTTTAGAATATAACTTAGCTCCTCCTGCATGCCCCCCCTCCCAAATTAGTTACCAGTTACAAGTAACTTCCAAATCCTGGTGAAAACCGTGAGTCGGTTGTGAGCAACAAAATCCCCTGGAAGGGTTGTCTTCTGTCTTGCAAGATTTTTCTCTAGGCTGGAAGCTGCAGAGTCGCTGGCTTCTGTTTGGCGGGCGGTCATTGGCTGCGAAGCCCAGAATTTCTTTAAAGGTTGATGACGCAGGCCTGGCAGGTTTGAAGGGTTGTCTCTGGAGGGGGAAGGCTTCATCCCCTTCTAACTGTAAAGCTAAGAGTCTTGCCTGATGAGTTCACTGGGGAAGAACAACTAGAGATGCATCCCTTGAGTTGAGCAGAGGAGAGGAGCAGTGGTCCATCCGCCCGCTGCCATCACCTCCCAGGCAAGACCTGGCCAGGGAGAGGGTT